TGGTCAACAATCGAAATGATCAGTTTTCTATTTTGTTTCAACTTTTTTCTCTTGAGTCAGATTTAATATGTGATCTTATTTCAATAAGAAATTATAAAGCAATAAATGATATATTCTAGTGTACATGCAGCTTTTAGACGTAATAATTTATCAATCAATTTTTACTGTTTCAGAACATTAACTTCTGATTTAATCATTTTATTTATTGATTTTAGGGTTTTATCTTTTACAGTTCAAGACTGAATTTGGCAAAATTAATTTGTGTGATTTGCTGTGAATGTATCATGTATACTTAAAATTATAATCCTTTATGCCAATAAATGGGTTTTCATGTGTGAAACGAAAGTTTTTATTTCCTTTCTTTCAACAAAATCTGATTTAAAAAATGAAAAAATGTACATTTTGAACAAGAGATTGTTTTGTTTCCTGGCTTTGTAACAGGAAGCTGCAGATTTCAGTAGATTTGATGCTCAAAGTGTGGAGTGTGGACCCCGGGAGGCCGCCAGGGGGCGCTGTGGCGATCTCAGAAAATTACAGAGAAGAGAAAAAAAGCAAAACTGAATTAAAAAAAAAACAATGAATCTTATAAATCATTTAATGTTACATTTTTCATCATAATTTTTCTGTTATTCAATCATTTCTATTTATTTTGAACAAATCTAAGCTAAGATAATTGAAATGATTTAAATGTTGTTTGCTTTATTCCAGGAGCTAACAGATAGCAAGAAATGGAAAAGCTAAGGACAAAAACAAAACCAGAGGAACTCCGGAAATAAAACAAATTTAATATTAATTATTACACATTTTCTTGTAATAAAAGGAGAGGATTGGAATGAAATAATGTATAATCTGGTAATAAAGTCATAATAACTTATCTGATTACATTTTCTGCCACAGAACTCATGGCTAACCAGAAGCTTTGAGATTAGCATCAATGCTAAATTAATGTAACAATTACTGAATAAAACAATAGCAAAGTCCGGGGTTAGCAAATGGGGTCAAAGGTCAAAGCTGTTTGGGGTGGATGGAAACGTTGTGTTTCCCAGACACACAGGTCCATTTTATACATAATTAACGATGAAAATGCTTCACGAAAATTTGACTTCCTGATTTATCACCTTGAAATTGGGCGACTGTCTCTTTAAAAAACTCCTGTTTTTTCCGCCTCCAGGAAGCCAACATGGCTCTCTGTTAACCCTTTAACGATGTTTTCACCAGCAGTTGCTGCTATAACGAGCTCAGCAGCAGTTGGCTAATTGCTGCTGGCTAGTCTGAAGGAGCTGTGCCTTGGAGGCGGGGCCAGGTCCAGCAGCTGGGAGGTTGCATGGAGATTAAAGGATTTATGAAAGAATCAAAGTGAGCGTTCAGGGAAAACCGTGAAGGAACGGAGAATGAAGATGACTTTAGATGCTGCCGGCCCTTTAAATCAGATCAGATCAGTAATGACAACATAACGACGATCAGCAAGCGTGAGGTCACTTCCTCCAGCAGCCGGTTTGCAGAGCCCCCCCTGCATCATCCGCGCCCCGACGCCCACCAGCAGCAGGACCAGCTTGGCGCCCAGAGCCGCCGCCAGCAGCAGCAGCAGCGCCGGCGGCGGCCGGCTGCCGGCGGTGGCGGGCGGGGCCGCAGGACGAACAGGGGGCCTGGTCCCGGCCCAACGGGTTGGAGGCGCTGCAGGTGTAGCGCTGACCCGGCTGGACGTCCCTCAGCTGGCTGACGGTTCGGTACCGGCCCGGCGAGCCCAGAGCCAGTGGCGGCGCCGGCGAGGAGCCCTCCAGCGGGTCGTCCGGGCCGAACCACTGGACGTCCGGCAGCGGCGAGCCCTGGACCCGGCACACGGCGGTGAACCCGGCCGGGCTGCCGCCCTCCACCGACACGGCCAGGATCTTTGGAGGAGCTGCAGGGATGGACAGACGGGGTCAGTCTGACCTTAATGCCCCCTTAGTGCCCCAAAAGCGGCTCAGTTTGCTGATGCCTTGGGCCGGCCCTGACCGTAACGTTTTGTCTCCTACCTTCCACTCGCAGCCTGGTTCCCATTTTGTCCTCAAAGCTGACGTGTTCTCTCCCTGAACCTCCACTCTGCAGTAGTACCGGCCGTTGTCCTGCAGGGAGGCGCCGTTGATGCGCAGCGACAGGTCGTGCTCCCTCGGGTTGCCCTCCAGGCGGTACCGCTGGTCCTGCTGCGGGTCGGGTTCGCAGGCGGCGGCGCCGGGCTGGCTGGTGCAGCGGTACAGGACGGCGGCGGCCGACCCGTGGCCCAGCCGCCCATCACCCGCAGCAAGGAATGCTGGGAGTGCTGTGGGTGGCTGAAGGTGCAGGGCAGCACCACCGGGTAGCCGTCCATCCCCGGACCTCTGCCTGGACGTGCATGGACCAGCCGTCGTCCCCGGAGCCGCAGGCTGCAGGGGACAAACCTTCACACACTGTGAGATAAAACGTTTCTGACCCCCAACAGGGCTGACCTTTGACCCTCCATTAAACTGTAAATATTCAACTCATAAAATCCTGGACTTTGCTGATTCTTGGTGTAAATAACTGAATGTTGTTAGTTATGGACTGAATATTAATTTGGAACTAAACAGTTTGAAAAAGAAATATTTCAAACTGCATATTTGGTTGGAAATTAAATAGAAAAATTCATACTTAGTTTAGACTAAAGGTTTCATTTGGCACTAAAACTAACTCAGAAATAAGTATTTAGTTACAAACTAACTTTTAGCTTTCAAATGAAATATTTAAACTCTGACATTTATAAATAACTCCAGATGTGTTTCCATGACAGACTGAACCAACCAAAGTGCTGCTGTTAGTTTTTTACAGTGTAGATCAGCAGGATGTTGCTCATCCTGACAATAACAGAAATGTTCTCACCTGCGGCCGCCAGCAGCAGAACCAGAACGCGTCCGACCCACGAAGCGTCCATGAGGAGAGCAGAGCAGCGGCGAACCCAGAACCCGACTGGTTCGGTTCGGTCCAGTGACTCAAACCTCCCAGGCGTGTTTCCGTCCCTTTCTGGACACTTCTGCTATTCCTGCTGCTTAATCATCAGCTGGTTGGAAACACTCAGCCGGTTCTGATCCAAACGTTCAACAGATTTATTTCCAGTTCTCTAAACGTAGAACAATAAAACGACACATGCAGCACTGGGGGGCGCCGTTTTACAGCGCATTATGTTTTACAGCGCATTATGTTTTACAGTGCATTATGTTTTACAGCGCATTATGTTTTACAGCGCATTATGTTTTACAGTGCATTATGTTTTACAGCGCATTATGTTTTACAGTGCATTATGTTTTACAGTGCATTATGTTTTACAGCACATTATGTTTTACAGCGCATTATGTTTTACAGCGCATTATGTTTTACAGCGCATTATGTTTTACAGGTCGCAGAAAATAATAACTATTTTATTCAAGTCAGATTATATAATCTGATAATGAAACTGATTCATCCAATCTGGATTGTTACATAACATAAAATAATCTGTCAAATGTTTTGTGCCGTTGCTCCATGCTCACACCTAATTAAATTAAATTAAATTAAATCAGGTTCAGTTCTGGTTTATTTCCGTTGCAGTGATGATGCAACATGTTTGCAGATTTCTGATTCATTTAGTTTCCAGCAGATTTTATGACCCAATAAACTTTATTTCAATCATTTGTTTTAATTTCATCGTTATATTAAACGGAATATTCTGATTTCCAACCAACATAAATTTATTTGTATGTAACTTTAATGGGTTTATTGCTGTTAAATAAATGTTTTGATCTTTTTCTTTGTGTGGTGAAGCTGCAGAAGGTTTGATTCGCAGCAATGAAGCATTTATTATTTTATTACTGAAGGTGCACCGTGTGACAGCCGCTGCCACCTGGTGGCCAAAGCGGCTACAGCAGCTGTTTGCTGGTCGCATGTGAGCAGACGTGTCTCTCTGCTGAACTCGGGCCGCCGGCTCCTTCCTGTTGCTGTGAAGGTGTGAATTTTACGCGGCTGTTTCCACCGACGCTGCGTCTCCAGGATGTGGTTACAAGTGTGAAGCATCGCGTCTCCATAGGAACAGATGAAGATGTGGGAAACCTGCACCTGAATTAAAACCATGAAAGAAAACCTTCCTGTTCACGCGTGAACAGGAAGGTTTTCTTTCAGGTCATTTTCTTCAGCTTAGCTCCATTTTGCGCTGCAGAGCGTCTGAGCGTTTCCTTCCTCCTGCGGCTCCGGCTGCGTTTCACACCTTGCTCACCTCACAGCCTCGCTGCCCCGACTTACTGGAAATGCTGACACAGCGTTAGCCGCCTTAGCTAACCTGGCAGGAAGCCTGACCAGGTGGCAGTTTCACACACCACAGTCAGAGAGAAACGATCGTTCAGTGAAACGCAGAGGAAACGAGGCTGTGATGATGACGATGATGTTGAAGAAGAAGAAAATCTTCCTCCAGCTGTTCCCCTCAGTGAAGCCAGCAGAGGTTTTACTCCCTCTGCTGGGAGTCTGGGATACGACCCGACTCCGGTCCGGTCCGGTCCGACTCCGGTCCACTCCAACCCGACTCCGGTCCGGTCCGGTCCGGTCCGACTCCGGTCCACTCCAACCCGACTCCGGTCCGGTCCGGTCCGACTCCGGTCCGCTTGTTCTGACTCCGCTTTGATCCGTGGTCCAATTAGCTCAGCCCTGTTTAATGTGGCTACTGACTGCAGCTGCTTCCATCATCATCATCATCATCATCATCATCACATCCAGATTCGTCGCCGTTTCTCCGGCCGCCGATTTGTGACGCATTTAGAATTCGGATAAACGCGACATGGCAGGATTCGGTTCTGCTCCAGATCGGGTTTTACTTCAAGTAATCCTGGGAGCGGTTAGGGTTGGTTCCTGTCCCTGACGGGCTGACCCGTTTCTGGCTGAACTCCGAATTATTCATCAGAACTTTGAGCGTTTTGGGCAGAAGGTTCGGATCAGAGTTTCCCTCTGAGCGGTTTGGATCGATCCGCAGTGTGGACCGGTCCGGATCGATAACCTGCTATAATCCGACTCCCAGAAACCTGCTGAACCACCAGCAGCTTCAGGCGAAGCGAGCAGGAAACCCGATCGACACCAGAACCGCACGCTACCAGTTAGCTCTGTTACCCATTAGCTCTCCTATCCATTAGCGCTGTTATCCATTAGCGCTGTTATCCATTAGCGCTGTTATCCATTAGCGCTGTTATCCATGACTTATTATTACATACTGAAAAGGTTAAGAAGTTTACAACAGAAGCTGCTCTGATTGGTCGGTGGTTGAAGCCCCGCCTACAGCCCTTTCATTCGTTTCATTGGACAAATTTCGGGCGCTTGTTTCAGTTAACTTTTGCAAAATGAAAATGTTCCAGAAAATGTCTGTAAGTCCTGGATCTGTGAAACCGGATCTGGATTTGATTTCTTTGTGTTTTCATCACGTGACCTCTGGGTGACCTCTGAGCTGCTGAAGCTAGGCTTGTTTAGAAAATGCTGAATGTGCTCACAGAAACCTGGTCCGGTCCGGTCGCCTGGCAGAGCCGTCCGGTCCGGTCCGGTTCGGTCCGGTCCGGTCCGGTCCGGTTCGGTTCCCCGGTGTCTCTGCTGGATGTTCCTGTTTGGACTGGGGCTGCATATGATGATGATGAGGATGCTGCAGTGTTTCCTGATGAAGGCCACACCCACCTGTCAACCTCACACACTGAACCGCCTGAACTCTGCTCACACAGGATGTTCCTTTCAAAATAAAAGCTCCTTGACTTTTTTCTTCACAGCAACAATAAAAACGTGAAACATTTAAAACGTTTCATGAAAAATGATTTTTTGCTTCTTCATGTTTTTGTGATTTTTATTAAATTTGTTTTATTTTTCTATAATATTGTAGTTCTAGGCTGCTGTAATGACTTCTGATTAAATTAAATTATTTTAGTTTCATGCAGATGAACTAGTTCAAGTTAATGAAAAGGAAAAGTTTGCTTTAAACTGATGCTAACAATTAGCCAGTTGTGACGTCAGAAAATGTTAAGATAACTAAAAGATAAACAATCTTTACATTGAAAAATGCAGTTTTGTCTTAATTAGTTTAATAGTTTTCAGACAAACTGTTGGAACAAGGCAGAGATTGGAATCGCTTCCCTTCCACCACTAGATGGCAGCAGCTGTGACATACTGCACCTTTAAAACAGAAAGATATGTGTGGCGGCCATTTTATGTTTGGATGATGGAAGAGTTCAGGTTTGCTCTCAACTATTGAGCTAACTAAACCTTTGGATATTAAAACGTCTTCCAGCGTTAAATGTTAAATGTAATGCGTTCTGCTATTACCACTATGTTAGTTACAAATGGTCGTAACAGTTTCATTGTTTCTCAATAACTTCCTGACGGTTTGTCAGACCGGACTCCAGAACCACACGGGTTACAGATTTTATTGTGAAAGTCCTCCCGGAAGTGTCCTGGTGTGTCTGCGCCAGCTTACCTGCGGAGGAGAAGAAGGTCCGCTCCCATCGACGCTCCGCTCCTCTGCGGTTGAACTTCACTAAAGCGGTCATTTCCTCCGCTGGAGCCGCCGCCGGACGCCGCCATGTCCCTCACCGCCATCAGCAGCACGCCGCCCGGCGGCAGGTCGTCCGGGAACGGCGGCCTCAACCTGGGATACAGCCGGACCATCCGGGACTGCTGAAGATCGGCCAGCTGGTGAGAGCCGCGGCGCCGCCGCCGAGCCGCGGCGCCGCCGCCAAGCCGCGCCGCCAAGCCGCGCCGCCGCATCGCCGCCCGGTCCGTTAGCTGGGGAAACCGGCCGCTGCGTTTCTGATGAATTCATAGTTTGAAATGTTTTATTGGAGCCGAAACTTGATTGTTTTCTTGAGCCAAACCTGGACAGAGCTGTGAAAAGCAGGGCCCCGGGTTCAGGAGGCCCCCCGCCTCCCACAGTGCAGACAACCAGCAAGTTGTTCATCATTTATCTTTGAGGATGTTTTGTTAATTTTCATGATAGTTTCTCCAAAGTTTCTAATGGAATCTGTTTGCTTAAGAATCCACATCATTGGCTGTGGTAAAATAAAACAAACTAGATACTATGACATGGCGGTTGCACATAAATAATAGGCTGATTTCTGCCACAGCTTGGAAAATTTCACTTTTCACAGTGAATGTATTGTTAGTTCAAACTACAGAACTGTTTCAGAGTCCGATTTTTAGTTTGCTGTAAAGTTCAAATTATTAATGCAAGCTAACGCTAGCAACTATGTTACACTGATTATTTTTGGTAAATTTTTACTTTGACTATAATGTCATTTATTTCTATTTTTCTCATGTGTTTTGTCTTGTTCTGTTTCCTGGTTTTTATCGCTTATATTTTTTTTTTCACAGTTTGTATTAATATTCCCAGTTAGCAGGTCGTTCTGGTTTGTGTGGTTTTGCTGGTTTTTCTGTGTTGTGGTTCCGCCTGTGTGACTCTGAGGTTCTGCTCGGCCCGTTCTGGTTCTGGCGTTAACGGACCGTGTTTTGCCTCCAGCTGTCGCTGCTCGTCGCCTTCCTGTGCGTCCGGCTGGCCCGCGGTTGGCCCGACTGGTACGCCTTCCAGTTCTTCGAGGTGGTGGTGCTCTGGTTCCTGGTGGCCTTCCTCATCTTCTTCCTCATGCACCTGTGCAGGCTGCAGGTGAAGATGCCCTGCATCAACTGGCCGCTGGCGTGAGACGCTCCTTCTGCTCCCATCGGACCTCGGGGTTAGCGACAGGAAGTGGTGCGGCGCGTCAGGCTGCTGTTCCGGTTGAAAAGCAGAGAAGCGTCTCTGATGTTAGCTTTGAAGCAGGAAACAGCAGCTGGACCAGGTTTCAGTTTCAGGATTCATTCTAGTCTCTAAATACTAAAAAGTGACTTTCTAAACGTCTGCATGGATTCATGTCTCCTGTGACCGGAACGCCTCGTCAGGGTTGCTCCAAAACTGCAAGATTAAAACGCTGCAAACTGGCTCCACAAAACAACGGCCCACCTCCCGTCCATAGGGGGACTAGAGTCAGTAACATTGGCTGCTTTTCTATAATATCATAAAAAAGAACAGCGAACCTTTCCTGCAACTTCCTTCTGGACGTCCGTCTTTACTGAGCGTCTGGTCCCGACTCCCCTGGAGGTCTGGAGGAAAGCGACAGAAAATGCTACAAATCACAAAAACATCCAAGTCCTCCAGACCACTAGGGGAAGTCTGGAGCAAACACATGAATGATGCAAATCCAAAAAACAGAGAAAAGGTGCGGCTACAGAAACCAGAAGCAGAAGAAAATGCAACAAAGACCAAAACAGCGAATTTAAAACTCTGCAGACAGAAATCTTCCAGGCCACCAGGGGGAGCCGGACCTCCATGAAGACGGAAAGGAAAGGTCTGCTGCACTTCATGTCTTTTAAGACACAGGTTTGTCTAGCGACTCCAGACGCCCCCTGGTGGCCTGGAGGATTTCTGCAGTTTTGCGGCATCTTTTCTTCCACTTCCTGCAGCATTTTCTGTTGCGTTTGTATTTGGTGTTTTGAGTTTCAATCATGTTTTTGCAGCAGTTTTCATGTTTGCAGCGCTTCGGATTAGCATGGATAAACATCCAGATGAATCATTTCCAGTCTGGTGAAATAGTACAGCTGTGCTCAGGCCTGAATTATCTGAACTCTGAGCTTAAATAAATCCTGTTTCAATATTTACTTCAGATGAACCAACTCGTCTGGTTCTGATCTTATTTCATCAGAAAATGTTTGCAGGTTTAGGTCACGATTTAGAGGTTTTATATCAACAAATGACCAGAGTTTCTGTGTTCAGGAGTTCTTCCACTACTCTGTCGGGTCCGTCCTGATCTTCATCGCCTCCATCATCGCTGCGGTGAAATGTGGCGCCGTTTCCTCCCTGGTGGTGGCGTCGGTGAGTCGCTCTGGTTAAACAACGGCAGAGTAACTCAGGTCCAGCAGGGACTTCCTGTTTCCTCCTGCTGCGTGTCAGCGGCTGACGGCGCCCCCTGCTGTCTGGTTGCAGGTTTTCGGGTTGATTGCGACGTTCCTGATGGTCGTCAATTTGTGGACGTCGTACAGCGTCGCCTGCGGCCCGGCAGCCGGTACGTCCTCTCCTCCGATTGGTCAGTTGATGGAGTTAGCTCAACGAGACAGCAGCCTGACACGGGAAGGGTCAAAGGTCAAGTCTCTCTAGAACCAAGATGGAGGAACCTGAACGCAGCAAATCGGCTGATTTTTAGAAGTCGTAATCTCAACGTTTCACATCTAATTATCGCAAAAAGTTTGTCATAATTTAACGATTTTTTTTTGTTTTACAATTTTTGTCTCATTTTAACGGATCGGTCAGACACCATAGATCAGTGAACATAGAAGCTGCTCTGTTTGCCTCTGAGCTAACGGTGACCCCACAGTGACCTCTTGGTTCGACTCGCCTGTGATTTCTGTCTGCGTGGTTTTTACCCATCATGCTTTGCTCTCCGATCTGCAGGTGAACAGGAGTAAAAGTGACTCGTCGTGAAAATGGCCGACAGCTGCATCCTGCTCCAGTTTTCTGCCGGCAACAACCCGCTCATCGAACCCGATTGGATGAAAAACAGAATCTGGACCAAAACCGGCGAGCGGACCGGATCATTTTAGCTGAGTTCAGTCCGTCAGGCAGCTGATCCACGTCACGTTTTTCTGTTTCAGCTTCATGTTTCCATAAAAACCTCCCAGTTTGGACTCAGGATGACGCCTTTCAGGCTGCTGGCCGGCAGTGTGCAGCAAATTATGACTTCAAACCAAATTAAGACACAAACCGATGAATACATCTAAAGGATTGTTTCTGTTGGTAATTTTCCTGAATCGTTCCGTTGACCTTCGTCACGTTTTGTGTGGATTTTTGGTGCTTTTAACTGAATTAACATAAAAACCGGCAAACAGAACCAAAGACAACAGAACCGGCAGCAGAACCGGCAGCCTGTTCATGTAGAGGATCACATGGAAATATCTGCACTGATGAATTATTGAAAACAAGCACATTTATTTGCTATAAATGTGAAACATTATGAAGCACCAGATGTTGCATGGATCAGAAGCTAGACGAAGCACAAACGGAGACAAAACACTCACATGTACTCAAACTAAAACCTGCATGTTTGTTATATTGGCTGAACAGAGAAACGAAAAGCTGAAGTGGATTTAAAGATGCTGAAGCACAAACTGAAGCCTGTGATGGTTCTGCATGTTTCTGTGATTCCCACAGGGAACCGTCGGCACTGATGCACGACACAAACCAGATTTTACTCTAAAAAACCCACAAAATACCACCTCAAAAAGTACAAATGAAAAACTAAAGTAATGATTTCAAAATGATTTTACTTTGGGATGAAAAACTTGATAAATCGTCTCATCAAACATCTTCCCTTCCATCAAACATTATACTTTAATATTCTGCTGTGAAAGTATAATGAATTAATTCAGTAAAAAATAGTCCTTTAAAATTCTAACTAAAGTTCAGAAAGAGAAATGGTCTCAGATAAAAATCTAATTATTTCTCCAAACCTGATATCAGTTTTGAGTTTTTTACAAACATTCAAAAGCCTTACATTTTGTCATGTAAATATCAAAAATAAATAAATAAACGGAGGAAAAAAATTAGCTTTCTAATCGTTTTACAGACTTTATAATTATTCACCTGCATTATTAACTAGCTGGATGTTTTTACTTCAATGTGTGAAAATAATTTAATAGCGACGTTAAAAACGTTACTGCTGCAGTGGAAGCTAACGTGATATTGTTAGCTTATCTTTGAAGCCATTCAAAAATGTAAAAAGTAAAATTAACTTTCAACATATTAAATCTATATATCTATTGTAATTATAGATGTGGAAAAAACCCTCTTAATTTCAGTTCTGGCTAAAAGCCTAAATTTGATTATGTTTTAGTGAAGTTAGCGTAGATGCTAACACTACAGAGAGGCTTCGTGAAGGGAAGCTGGCTAACTTTAGCTTGTCAGTTCTTAGAAAAGAAAGACTAAACATTTATTCATTTTTATAAATACATATTTGTAACTGTCTGGTAAAATCTGTGCCAAAATCTGCTTCTCTGTAATTTTAGCTTGAGCTAAATTAGCTTTGGCTAACATATTAGGCTAATGCTAGTATAGTGAGCACATGCTGTGGATGATATCATATTATAAATGAGTAAAAACAAACTTTCCTTCAACTTGGAGTCACTTTACTTAATTGATTCAAAACTTTGAGGACATTTTACTGTTATTTTGTAAAAAATGCAGTTTTGCACTGAAGGTGTTTGATCAACGCTAGCTGCGGTTCAGCCTTTTAAAGATGGCCGTTCTTTCACATAAAATCAGTTTCCTAGTTTGATCCTCTAACATGAACAAACATCAGAAAAGCTAAACTTTGTTTTTATCTCTGCTCCCTGAATCCAAAACATTTCACTCCTCCAGAACCGGAACCAGATGAAAACATGAACAGAAACATTCCTGCCTGATTGATGCTTCTGTTTCCTCTGGCACCAAATGAGGGATTCACAAATAAATCCGTTCAGTCTGAATTTTTCAGCTCTCTGGACTCTGAACCAACAGACTGTTGATTTTACTCTCACGGCGCTGACTCAGCGTGTGACAGCAGCAGTCCTCTGCGGCGGCCCATCTTTCCCCTCTATCCGTACAGAAGCTGCAGAATCGGCCTGGACTTGGAGGCTGCAGAGTTTTCTTCTCAGACAATCTTTCGATCTGATCAGATGTTTCAGCTCCAACCTGCTGCATGTCTCTGAGTTCAGCTCAGGTTTTCTGTCTGATCAACTGCCTAGCATCACACGCTGCGTCTGCTTGCTAAAGCTAACTCTTCTTCACCTTGTAGACGTTTCAGTGATGGGTCACCATGTTCAAGCTGTAGCATCGCTGCTTTGCTAATCTGGGCTCTTCTCTTGCATTTGGAGCAGATGGATGTCAAACTCAGTGGTGGGCTAGCTAAAACGTCAGCTGCGCTAACCCTAGAGCACTAAACAAATTAGTTTTGCTAATGCTAAACTGATACATCACAGTACTTAGCAGAAGCTAATGCTAACACGCTACTTCAACCAGTTACACTCTGCAGAGTGAAACCTTTTTGTGCTAAAGGAAGTGATTCTTTCAGACGTGGGTTATTAGATGCACTGCATCATGGGTGGAAAAGTGAGGAGTTCCTGGTTTCAGATTGTTTACTAAAAATTATTCTGGAAGAATATGAAATTTTTTTAATCCAAAATGAAAATTATTTGAACAAAACAGCCAAGTAATTAGAATTTATCAGGAAAACTTAATTTAGGCAAAGCTAAGCAAGCTAAATGTTTTCAAAATTAGCTCAAGCGCTAAGCTAAACGTTAGCGCATTAGCTGAAGTGTGCCCACCACTGCCGGTTTTATTTCTTTGTATTATGATGCTCTGCTAGGTTTTATTCTTTTGTTTTTCCATCTGAAGTTTCAATCACTGGAGAAAAATATTTCAGCTGAATATTTAAGATTTTGTATTTCTATAGTTGAAACTTTTAATATTTCTGACGTCAGTGTCTTGTTATAGTTGATTTTTGATGATCTTTTTTCACTCTTTTGATATTTCTGCCTGGATGTTTTGCATGGATCCAGAAGAAATCTTTCAGTTTGTCAGAGATTAGGCCCTCGCTGAGCCTGTTTACAGCAGAGCATCCAACCGTTCATCCAACCATCCAGGCCTGGTTCTGGTTCCAGGCCAAACGCCACTGTTTACAGGATTTATTTAGCGTGTTTCTGCAGCGGAGGCGTCATGCTGTGGGACCTGAACGCCCTGCTAGCTAAAGTGGTTTAGCTTGTTCTCCAAAGTGCCTTATTGTTCTGTTCGTGTCTGGCTCGGTCCGAGAGAACCGCAGGGACAGGCGTCACACAGATCACACCACTCTTGTTTTCACTTGTTTTCTAGGTTTTTCACATCCTGTCAGTTGTTGCATCTTTTCAATTAAAGTCTCACTGCATCACGTCGAGCCGTTCGGTGTCGATCTGGATTATTGATTCTGTCATTTTTAAACTCATATTTCATTATAACAAGCTAACTACTTAGCAACATGTTAACTGTTTCAGTTTGAGTGTTCATTTAGAATATTAAGCTAAATATTTAGCTGGTATCCTAGCTGAAAACCAGAAGTGGACAACCAAAATAAAAGCTTGTTCATGGAACCTCTGTTTTTTGTCTTCTCCAACAGTTCAGTTTAAAACGAAGGATGAATCGTTTTAAAGGCTGACAGACATTTACTGACGGATCTACAGAGTCTACAGGTTCAGTCTGAACAGGAGGTTATCAGCTTTATTTTGATAGTACACTTCCTGTAGCTAAGTATTGAGCTAACTAACTTTTTAGCTCCTTAATTAGTCACATTATATTTAAACGTTTAGCTGTAAATCTTTAGTTGGTAAACTAAATATTAAGGTTGGAGATAAATATCTGAAAAGTTGACTATTAAGTTCCAATCTATACATTTCGCTCTGATCTGCTGTTGAAAATATGACACTAAAAATGAACTCCATTGTTTTTCTCTAAAACTAAATTAAATTTTCTGACTGTAACTTTACAAACAGCAGCAGGAACTGAAAACATGATGAGTTCCAGCTGGAGTTACTATGAGCCCATCAGGACCCCGAAGCAGAACCCTGTGGAGCTCCGCTCCGTTCCCTGCCTTACAGGAAACAGCTGCCGTGTTTCCGTGGGAACAGGACACGTGGTCCTGCTCCACTTCCTGCTGCAACAGGAAGTGGAGCCTCATGGCCATTTCAGAAACTGGAGGAGAAAGTTTTTCTCAGGTCGACGGTCAGATCCATCGGAATAAACTTTATTTCTATCAGTTCTACAAATTCATGGTTCATGTTTTTTAGTTCAAACCAGCAAAATAATAGATTTTAAATTTCTTACAGAAAAATGATTTTATTCTGCAGATTTGAACTGATTTCATGTTGGTCTCTGCTTCCCCCTGGTGTTGGCGGTCTAGTTTACAGCTTTAAAGTTGATTAATAGAAATAATCTCAGATATTGTTGGAAAGAATAACTAACTGCAGGCGGCCTAAACAAAGCCCGGCACTGTAGCAACAGGAAATCTGCTCTAAACTTTCCTGCTGCTGGTTTAATGCAACAGAACATCTAAACTTTAAATTTTGGTTATTAAAAAACTTTAATTCACATTAAGCTTTTATGTCTGAAACATTTAGAAAATATTGTTTTATTTTCACATCGAGCTGCAGCACCGCTGGGCGCCACTAGATGGTGGCAGCAGGCCAACAGTCACTGGACCAGAACCAGAACTAAACTGGTTTCTAACCAGTAAGTCTTTAACAGGTGACATGACGAGGAACCAGCATCTGTTATTAACCAATCAGGTTGGAGATTTTCTCGGGATGGTCGTTTCTCTGAACTGGACCGGACCGGACCAGTCTCATCTCCGGCCCGGCTGAGGTCCAGGTGGTCCAGTCAAATTCACACCCCGATACTCATTCATTTAAAAATGTAATAGTTTCAAACCGAATATTTAGCTCGGTTGAGCTAACGGCCAAACTAAATGTTTAGTTAAAAACTAAGCATTTAGTTTGTTTACAAACTGAATGTTATTTAGTTTTAACAATTTATCTAAACTAGTTTATTTAAACTAGCAATGTAAATATTAGCTTGCTAATTAAGTATGTTG